TTTCATTTTGTCCTTCGGACATATATTAAGTGAACATTCAATAATTATGACCTTGCACTTGATGTTTACAAGGTTAGATCAAAAGGGCAGAATTTGGATTTGCAAAAAGGTAAGATTTCTTTGGTCTTAACTATCCGATTAAGATCTTGCTTCGGGTTGTTAATTAAGGTTTGTGTTTCGGAGAGCAAGAATCGACAAGAATATAAAATCTGATGAACCCAGCTGTCTTATGCTCTTCCATTTGTCTTCTATATATATATTCAATCAAAATAAAAATTTAGTCCATAGTATATGCACTGAAATAATTCATGTGATAAGTCATCCTACTACGGTTCTTAACCAGATCAACTCAAAGCACAATCATATTGGTCTACTTTTTCCTTCCACTAATCAGACAAGTCTTTTAATCGTGGACTTTGGGATTTATTCTTTGTGTTAATAAAATACAGTTAAATTGATTTTGGATTGGCTAATTCTCTCTCGATCCAACATTGAAAAGATATGAAACATCTCATACTAAACAACCTCAACAATATAATTTGTAATAGTGTATTGTGTGATCATATAATCCAAATTCAACATATGAGCTAATACTACATCTCTTTATCGTTTTTCTATTTAGATGGTCATACTCGGGAAAATCATTAACTAATTTAACTTGATAGAACAAACAAAACAACCAAACTAATCAAGACATACAAAGGGTATAAATTAAGTATCAACAATAGACACACCGTATTTAGCAAATGGTAGTACTATTCTCTTAGCCATAGCTCAAGCTAAAGATCAACTTAATAAGTAAACGTAAAACCCAAACCTAGTAGTATACTTTTAGTATGATTTTATCTCTACCTGAAAATTTTCGATTCTTTAAAAAATAAAACAAAATTCTAAATAACATTCAAAAAAAGAAAAAAACGATGAAGTCAGAACTCTTTTAAGTCAAAGAGATTTAGTTTGTATGAATTCATTGCTCTGCGCACGAACTTGAAGATCCCTATACACAAACTTTATTGCAAATCAACATAGGAGTATTTTACATCTAAATCACTAAATTCATACAAACTAAATCTCTTTGACTTAAAAGAGTTCTGACTTCATCGTTTTTTTCTTTTTTTGAAAAAGAAAATGCAAATTTAAGAAAGTAAACAACAGAGGAAACTTTGATTACACGATAGACTCAAAAAGAAAAGAAAAAATGGATGGACCGTAGCAATAAAGTCTAAGGTAGAATAACAAGGCATCTGTTGCGTCACCACATAACTCAAGAGTAAAGCCAGTTCATGTCTGTCTTGGAACCTGTCGATAAC